TTTAGCACTAAAGAGCAGGGTTCCCTGGGAAAGGAGTGGGGCAAAATGCCTCAAAATTGTGGGTAAAGAAGAAAAGCGCTCCAAACCATACTCTCTAGGCAAAGAACAAGCAGAAATGTGGACGAGCTCAAAGATCTTTAAAGCATCAGCCTACCTGGAAAGCACAGAAGAAAAGTAAGTGTGGATAAGCCGTTTGTGTATAATCTTAGGTGCATCAGTATGTCATGTCTACCTGGGTCCTAAGGAAGTTTTCAGACAGCAATAAGGTCTGCAAACTTGAAGAAAAGAGCATGCTGGGATGTTCTGGGGTCCAGATGTGGACTGAATGGACAAAATTGAAAAGCCTCTACTGCAGAAAATGTAAGGAACAAGAATACAATATACCCTTTGCTTTTCCCCCTTGCAACTGACCTTATGGGCAGGCAGCAATTGTCTGCAAATGGCTTCATCATCAGGCTTTCATGCAGCTTGGAAAACAGGCTTTTGATAAGAGGTTTTGGAAGGGGCTTGTCTTAAAATATTGAGAGCCAAGTTTCCGCTCCAGTGCTTTGCAGCCAGGTTCTGAATAGTAACAAAATGGGAATCGGTGAAAGGGGGGAAGCTCCAGAAATCAGTTTTAATTAGCTATACAGTAAGACCCTTTGTCCAACAAATAGATTTGATAATATCACTGATAACCTTTGCAGCGTCTGCTATCACATTACACGATGCCATTCTCCTGATCGGAGGACATTTTCCCAACCCCAGCCCCACAATTGAGTTGCTTGCAGGGGAAGAATAATGTCACAAGACCCTTCCAGGGTGGGATTCTTCTGTTTGACTTCCTCCTCTGGCCTGGTGTTGCGCCAGCAAAGCTCATCCTTAGCAAAGACACAGTGTGATGAGCGACAGCCATCTTCCCTGCTGCCAAGTCCATCTCATTGACTCTGTGTTTACCAGGCTTTGCGTATTCCAGCATTTCAGTCAAAAGCTTTGCTTCATCACCTCCAGAATGCTGGATTTGGTGAGGTAGACCAAGGCACACTATGCAGATGCTGTGCAGATGTTTTCAGTGGGAACTAGGGCTTATCCACACTTACCTTTTGGCCTGCTCTTTCCAGACAGAGCTCTACACTCCATGTCCAAGTATTTCTATGTTATTTTTCCACCCTGAGCTTTCCCCACAAAAAACCACTCTTTAAAGCTGAATCGGAGCAAACATCTATCTGGGTTTTCCGCGGACTGACATTTGCACCGACTGAGCTTTAAAGAGCAGCTTTTCATGGAGAAAGCCCGGGCGGGAGAAATAAATAAAAAGCTGCTTGGATACTGAGCTTTAAAGCTTGGGCCATGCCTGGAAAGAGCAGAGGAAAGGTAAATGTTGACAAGCCCTCCGTCAAATACAACCCAACTTTTACAAACCATCAAGGTAATATCTTGCTTTCTTATTCCGAGCCTGTATTTTATTTTATGCCTTCTAAGTATGGTTCAGCACAAGCATTTAAGTAAACATTCAAATTTGGTTTTTTTGTAGAAAAATAAACGGCACTGCTCTGTTATGGGGGGATGCGGGGTGGAGAATGTTAGGCTCAGTTTCACTCCCCAGACAGAATTATAAGAACTACCGTAGTTTTCGCTCTATAAGATGCACTTTTCCCCTCCTAAAAAGTAAGGGGAAATGTGTGTGTGTGTTATGGAGCGAATGCAGGCGGGAGGCTCTGCTCAGCGCTCCCTTTAAAGAGCCGCGTGGAATGTGTGTGCGGCTCTTGGGAGCTTTTCTCCAAGTAAGGAGAAGCCTGCAAGCGCCGCACACATGCTCCACGCGGCTCGTGAAAGGGAGCACTGAGAAGAGCCTGCGATGCATACAGGCTCTGCTCAGCACTCCCTTTATATAATATTTTTTTTCTTGCATTCCCCCTCTAAAAACTAGGTGCGCCTTATGGTCAGGTGCGTCTTATGGAGCGAAACATACGGTAACTGCGCCAATGATGATTTTGAAGCTGGTGGGATTGTGGCTCAGTCTGGAGACTGTATAATTATCCAGGCCAGACGTAGACATGGATGCAGTAGCAAGCAGCATGTAGCATCTGTCCCATCGCAACCTTGCTGTCAGCACTCAGCCATGGGCAGCAGCCTCAGGTAATCCAGGAACTGGGAACCACAAGCCACTGGATGAAGCCAGTAGACAAGACCCAAAAACAAACCAAGAGGCAGGACTGAGATGCAAGCTGGAAGTCATAACTGAAGAGAACAGATCAGGATAAGAACACAAGAGCCCTGCTAGACCAGTCCAAAGGCCCATCAACATCCTGTTCTCACAGATTCCCGATGGAAACCTACTAGCAGGACATGAGTGCGATAATACTCTCCCCTCTTGCAATCGCCAACAACAATTGGATGCATACCCAGTGGTGTACCAAATGGTCACAAGAGCTCAGGAAGACCTTGATGATCATGCAAGAAGGTTTTACTGGAACAGCAAGGCCTCTTCTGGTTCTTCCTGTCCAGGAGGATCCAGTGGCCAGCCTGGCTGGACAGGGTCATCCTATGGTCTGAGGCTACTAAGCTGCCTAGGCAGATGATGCAACACGGGGCATTGGCACACAGACCCAACCATTTCCAATTCAAGCCCCAACGGTTTGACACATGCTGCCTCCAGTCGGTGATACTCCGTCTCTTCCCTGCCATCTTCACATGATTTGGGAAGCAGCAACTTCCAACCTAGTCGCACCCGGCCAGATGTTACTCCTTCCATGGGAATGCCCAGCATGTCCAGTTTTACAGTGTCTGGATTTTACAGTGTCTGAACGGAACTTCCATGAGTTTCACCCCCCACCTCCCTTGAAGTAAGAGCAAACCAAAACACAAATGTCTGGCAATTGAAAGAACATCTGTGTTTTCAAGGGCTCACCCCTTTGGGTCCCATGCTTTACGTTGGGTTTAACTCTTCAAAGCACAACAGCTGGTACACAGCCTAAATAGCCTCAGAAGCGCCGATACTGCTGAACAGTCACAATAGAGAATCCATTTCAAAGCTTCTAAAACCATCTAGTAAATGTGTGGGGTTGTGTGAGCGTTTGTTTGTCTCAAAAGACTATTTGGAAGCAGTATGAGAAATTCAGGCTGTAAAATCATAGTAAAAGAGGAGGAGGAAGGGATCATTTTTCCACTGAAAGTTACCTGCATACAGCCTTGTGTCCTCCATATGTAATTGGGGACTTCAGCTGTAGGCCAGCAATATCTAGATTAGGGAAGGGTGAGCTAAAGTGATCAGGAAAGGGGTTTCAGTGACACATACACACATTCACAAGCATCAATTGGTTGTTCCTTATTAAGGCTAAAAAGGTAAAGGTAAAGCACCCCTGACAGTGAAGTCCAGTCGCGAACGACTCTGGGGTTGCGGTGCTCATCTCGCTTTACAGGCCGAGGGAGCCGACGTTTGTCTGCAGTTTTTTCGGGTCATGTGGCCAGTATGACTAAGCTGCTTCTGGTGAACCAGAGCAGCACACGGAAATGCCATTTACCTTCCCGCCAGAGTGGTGCCTATTTATCTACATGCACTGGCATGCTTTCGAACTGCTAGGTTGGCAGGAGCTGGGACCAAGCAACGGGAGCTCACCCCATCGCGGAGATTCGAACTGCTGACCTTCTGATCAGCAAGCCCAAGATGCTCAGTGGTTTAGACTGAGGCTACATTAAGGGATGTGGGTGCAATGTGGTCTAAATCACAGAGCCTAGGACTTGCCGAGAATGTATCTTTTGTGATGTGACCATTCAGGTTCAAATGGGTGCTGTTGTGCTGAAGGAACCAGTGAGGGAAAAGTTCCTTTTTTTAACTGTCTCCTTCCCACACTGCCCTTTATTTGAAAGGAACCTTCTTACCAGCTACTCAAGTTTCACGATTACTTCCTGTGATGCAACTCACAGTTCACAGTTATCACAGTATTATTACCACAATATTATTAAAATATTTAATGCTTCTGCCTTCTGCTTTGTTAACTAGCCAATTTAATAAGATTCTGCTTAATGAACATTTTGTCCCTGTGGAATTGAGGAAAGGGAATCTGTGGACCGTGTTCTTTTACACTGTTATTGGTATAAAGAGCCCGGTGAGATCTAAAGTGGTGCAACCCGGACAGAGCTTTACCAACAACTACCATTCAGCAGCTTAATGTTTAGCCTCTTGTACTTCTTCTGATAAAATTAATCAAAACAACATTGTGGACTGGATGCATTTTGCACATAGATATATAAATGTTTATTCTTATTCTTATTGATTCCATTTGTCATTTTATTTTAAAAAATGTCTCAAAGCAACTTAACAACAAGACAAAATATAAGCAGGTAAAATAATGTGAAAGCTAAAGAAAAAAGAAAAGAATGCACAGAATAAAAATTTCATGAAGTACTTATCCAACAATAACAGTTTAAAGGACAAATCCTGCCCCACCATCACACAAGTGTGAGCTAAAAAGCATTAACCAGCAAAAGCCTGGGTAAATAAAATTGTCTTAGCCTGGCACCTAAAAACTGACAGTGATGGCACCAGGCATGTTTCCCTGGGAAATTATTTGAGAAAATGCATAGATACCAGAGAATAGATGGAGGGGGTGGAGAGAGGGAGAGAGAGAGAGAGAGAGAGAGAGAGAGAGAGAGAGAGAGAGAGAGAGGTAGGTGTCAAATGTTAGATTAATATTGGAGAACAGGAAATCAGAATGTTGCATTTTAATGAGTTGGCAGGTGGTCCACATTCATGACAAATTTCATACCCAAGTTGACACATTTTCAAATGTTAATGTTCTCCAGAGGATTAACTGTACTCTAATGATGGAAATAACGGCTCAGAAGGTTCAGTTTAATCTGGTTCCAAATCCTTGGCACTCAGCGTATATAGGTGTTAGGTTATGCACTCCACAGAAAGAAGTAATTATAGCTTTAGAAACAAGTTACAGGGAAAAATAGAATTATGAAGAGGATCTGAATCATGAAGGGAACAGGCTACTTCATCAGTGCGAAACAATGCTTAATCAAGTACGGTAACTAAAGGAGTGGGTGAACACACACTCACTTATTAACCAGGGCATGGAGCATTGTGAGATACTTTCGCAAGTCATCCCTGTGGCCGACTGCAGAAGTTAAACAAAATGAGCCTGAAGGCCTCACCTTTCTCGTTTCGTTTTGATCTTTGAGGACCAGAAAATAAAACTGGAGTGAGGAAGAGAACAAAAGGAAGATCAACTCCTGGAATAAAGTATATTAAAGGCGGTGGGGGGAGGGAGTACATTCTGCTTCATATGTTGAGAGCTTTGGAAATGATCAAAAGTGCACTGTTCCCTGGTTTCATGGTCTTCAGCGTCCCAGAAGATACGGAAGATACAGAAGAAGACTAAGGCTGCTGTAGGTTTAAAGTGAATAAAGCACAGGTGAGTCTTTATGTTGTTGTTGTTTAGTCGTTTAGTCATGTCCGACTCTTCGTGACCCCATGGACCAGAGCATGCCAGGCACTTCTGTCTTCCACTGCCACCCACAGTTTGGTCAAACTCATCCTGGTAGCTTCGAGAACACTGTCCAACCATCTCGTCCTTCGTCGTCCCCTTCTCCTTGTGCCCTCAATCTTTCCCAACATCAAGGTCTTTTCCAGGGAGTCTTCTCTTCTCATGAGGTGGCCAAAGTATTGGAGCCTCAGCTTCACGATCTGTCCTTCCAGTGAGCACTCAGGGCTGATTTCCTTCAGAATGGAGAGGTTTGATCTTCTTGCAGTCCATGGAGCTCTCAAGAGTCTCCTCCAGCACCATGATTCAAAAGCATCAATTCTTTGGCGATCAGCCTTCTTTATGGTCCATCTCTCACTTCCATACATCACTACTGGGAAAACCATAGCTTTAACTATACAGACCTTTGTTGGCAAGGTGATGTCTCTGCTTTTTAAGATGCTGTCTAGGTTTGTCATTGCTTTCCTCCCAAGGAGCAGGCGTCTTTTAATTTCGTGACTACTGTCACCATCTGCAGTGATCTTTATATCCACAGGTAAAAATAAAGGATCTGAATCTGTGTTAGAGCTTGCAGATACAAAACCAAGACATAGTTTGGGATCCAAAGAGGTCCATATGTATGAAGCTAACACACTTCCATGAATGCATGAGGAGTTTTCTACCTGCACTACTAGGACCAAATTGGACATGACATCTATCACCCAACTACAGCTCCCATACATGAGTTATTTGATGACAGAAGCCTTTCCAAATGCCAGTGGAGTCTGGGAGCCTGAGATTATCACTGCCAGCCCCTCATCTTCCTGGGCATCTGCTGGGTCACTGCTCACAGACCAGAAGCCCACAGCGCCCTTAGCAATTCCTGTTAGCAACAGTCTGTCTGAGCCCTGGCAAGCACGGAGGGCAGAGCAAGGCAGAAAAACTGGACTATCCAGAACCAAAGCATGGACAAAGAGGGCTCCAGGGCAAAAATAGAACATGTACAAGCTAATAATGAAAGTCAGGGTTTTGCCAGCAAGCAGAAGCGGCACATCCCATTTTACAGCTTAAAAAGGTAAAGGGACCCCTGACCATTAGGTCCAGTCGTGGCCAACTCTGGGGTTGCAGTGCTCATCTCACTTTATTGGCCGAGGGAGCCGGCGTACAGCTTCTGGGTCATGTGGCCAGCATGACTAAGCCGCTTCTGGCGAACCAGAGCAGCGCACGGAAACGCCATTTACCTTCCCGCCAGAGCGGTACCTATTTATCTACTTGCACTTTGACGTGCTTTCGAACTGCTAGGTGGGCAGGAGCAGGGACCGAGCAACGGGAGCTCACCCCGTCACGGGGATTCAAACTGCCGACCTTCTGATCAGCAAGTCCTAGGCTCTGTGGTTTAACCCACAGCGCCACCCACGCTTAGGGCTTAGAGCTGTACAAAAGGGAGAAATGTCCCAAGGCATCACATTGCCATGATAAGAATGAGTTTTTCCTGACAAAATGCTCTCTGCATAACTGTTGATATTATTCTCTCCTGCATCTAGTCAGTCAAGGTGTCACTCCAATACAGCTGGCCTTATTTTCTTTGTGGAATAATAACTAATAACATTTGGGCCTGCCTATGATCCCATCATATCACTGTTTAAATATTCTCTTTTGTCCTTTTCTTTTTGGAAGGCTTGCTTTGCAATCAGGCTTGGGAAGCATATGCTATTAATTAAGTAATTTTGCAAATTTAGAAATACAAATTATATTGTTTTCAAGGCAAATAATGGCCTACCAATTATTCTGCCAACGGGAGTGACTTGTGGTCCTTGCTAAATCTTTTCCCTTTGGCCATTGTTTTCTTAGTTATTAAGCAAAGATACAGTTGGTCCTTTTGATTAGAAATCTTTTGGCTGGAATGATTGCTTGGGCTACAACAAAACCTTAAACTCAATATCCTTCTGAAATCCCTTTGAAATCAAATCTAACCCAGCCGCCCTCCCTTTTAGGGAAACATTTATGCAATTGTGTGAATGTCATTTTTCGGCGCCAAGGTTTTTAAAATGAGACTGAAGGCCAAAGGGTTGTGCCTCTTTCTAATGCACAGCTTAACAAAAGATCTGTCCCTGCCATTAACCTTTACAAATGAATTGGTGTTAGGCACTTTTCAGTGCTGAATATGGCTATAAAATCCAGAGGTCTTTCTCGTACCATTTTCTTTAAGAAGAAAAGGCTGATTCCAGTACGTTTCCGAGCACAATTCAAAGTGTTGGTGCTGACCTTTAAAGCCCTAAACGGCCTCGGTCCACTATACCTGAAGGAGCGTCTCCACTTCCATCGTTCTGCAACTGAGGTCCAGCGCCGAGGGCCTTCTGGTGGTTCCCTCATTGCGAGAAGCCAAGCTACAGGGAACCAAGCAGAGGGCCTTCTCAGTGGTGGCACCCGCCCTGTGGAACACCCTCCCACCAGATGTCAAAGAGAAAAACAACTACCAGACTTTTAGAAGACATCTGAAGGCAACCCTGTTTAGGGAAGCTTTTAATGTTTAATAGACTATTGTATTTTAATACTTTGTTGGGAGCCGCCCAGAGTGGCTGGGGAAACCCAGCCAGATGGGTGGGGTATAAATAATAAATAATAAATTATTATTATATTATTATTATTCCAAGAGTCATGTGAAGGCTTTGCTTCAGCATTCCTGACTAAGTAGAAAACTTTTCCAATACCGCAATTCCAATCAATACAAGGGAATTGACACGCAAGTGTGTTCTGTTAACCTTCTCCCAGCTGGTACCCACTTCAGATGCTACTGAATTTTCCTCAGCCATGACTCCCTGCTGGCTGAGGATGATGGGCACTGGAGTCCAGCAACATCTGAAGGATGGAGAAGCAGTTAAACACTTTGGCCGGGATCCAATACAGAATGAGAGGATATCACTGAGCTTTCCCACCACCTCCAGATCCTGGCAGGCCTTCAAAATTTTGCTATTTGAAATTCACATTTTTATAATGCTGTGAGCTTTAGAACACATTTTTCGAACACAAAATGTTAGTACTTCTGGCTACGCTGAACAGTTGGTGTTTTGCCACTTCAGTGTTTGGGAAATCGGTGATTCACAACGCAATCCTATGCACATTGCCTCGGAAGCAAATGAAATCTGTGGATTAATAAAAATTATAGATTTTATAGAACTGTAGGGCAGAGCATTGCATTGCATTCTGGTTAAATTCCAAGCTGATTTCAGAAATCACTTATTTTGACCATTGGATAGAAATCCAAAAAAATGAAAAGCTACAATATAAATAAAGCCAACTGAAAATTTGGCAAGCTTCTCGTGGAAATTCTGCCCCAGCATGGGTCTGAGATGGGAGAGGAGGAGGGATTGCAAAGTAATCGTCTGCCCACATCCAGCAGAGAGATCACACCTCGAACCGCCTCGAACCAACGGAGGAGAGGATTTTGGCAAGTCAAATTAAGAAGAGCGGGGGTTTCATTTCTTGTTTCTGAATCATGAAGTCAAGGCCTTTATTGTCAATTAAGCCTTTGTCTCCTGACAGGATGTGGCACCACTCACACAGACCCACTGCAGTGAGAGAGCCTTGGCACTTGCTGCAAGCAAGCAACTTTAGTAACTGTCGTGTCTCAAACTTCGCAATGTCTTGGACTGAAGCCCAGAGTTTCTGCCTGCTGTTGCCCAACCCTGGTGCCTACCCAACTATGGTACTAGGTTAAAAAATAGTTTCCTAACTTTATCTTCGCGTTTGATGGCACCGGAGCAATTTACTCCAAGTACCAGGAGTTGCTTTCTTATATCACTTCCAGATTGTCAGAGACAGCAGCACTGAACAAAGTCTTGGTGCAGGGATAGGGTCCTGTGTCCCTCCAGATCTTGTTTGAGATAAATCCCATCATCCCTGATCATTGGCCAGGGCTGTCTTAAGCATATGTGGCGCCGGGGTGCAAAGATCCGCCCACCCCACTCCCACCCCGGCTGCCCAGTCCCAGGCACGCAGGAGGGTGGAGCTGGCCGGCCGCCTCAGCGTCTCGCTGGCTTGGTCACCCCCAAACTCACGGCGCAAAGCTGCCAGCAGCAGAAGAGCCCACCGTGGCACTCCAACCGACTCAACTCTCAGGCCCCGGACTTTCGGCCTAGTGCCCCTGTGAGCCTGGCGCCCGGGTGCCCCGCACCCCTAGCACCTATGGGTAAGACGGTCCTGTCATTGGCTATCCACAAGGGTGGGTGTTATGTACTGAAGTTCTCGCCCTGGGCCAGCAGGGGGATACTGTAGATAGTTTTCACTCAGGTCCACATATGCAAATAAGGGATTGAAAGTGACATTCAGTGATTGGATAATTACAGAAAATTGTTACTGTTGCTTTGTAGTTGAGCTCTATATAAGCAGGCTGGCTGAACCCTTCAGCCCAGTTCTACTCTGGCCTGTGAATAAACGAGCTGTTTGAAGAATCGCTGTGTCGTCTAATATGTTCACCCACAACTTAACAGTAGGTGTGGTATCTTGGTATGTGTTTGAAAACCCTCCCTTGGTATCAACACCTTTTCCTCCCTGCACATGTCCCAGGTGAATGAAGAAGAAAGTACTGTAGTTGTTGCGATCTTGGAATATACCAACTCACAAGTCATTAGCCAGGTGTGGATGCACCCAGGGGTGGCATGTCCCATTTTGCCACCTGAGGCCTCCCTTACCTGGGTTGCACAGTGGCGCCCAAAAAGCAGCGGTGCCAATGGCATGTTCTGGTAAGATCATGTGAGATTTTGGCAAGATCCCTGTGATGGCCTGGGATTCGGATGCTGAACCTGAAGAATCCCAGCCTGCACAGGATTCCCCGCCTCCAGAACCAGCTGAGCCGGGGCTGGGGCATGAGCCTGAAGGGTCCTCACCTGTGCTGGATCCTCAGGTGCAGGCATCAGCTGAGTCTGCTCTGGCTCCTGAGGTGATGGAGACCCATTGCCTGCAGGTGCTCCACTCTCAGCCCCGTCAGAGGAAGCTGAGGTTGCCTCTGGGTCCGGTAACCCTCCAGCCTCTCCTGAGCTGCAGAGGCTCAGGGCAGAGAGGTTGAGGGAACTAAGTTTCCGCAGGAGGAGTGCTCGCCTCCAGGCCAGGAGAGGCGAGTCACCTGAGGATCGGGGCCGCCCTGTGCCTCGGGGCAGATAAAAGCCAGCCAGCCCCAGGCCCAAGTTGCAGGAGCAACATTGTTGGTTGACAGTTCCTGCCTGAACCCTGTCTTGCTATCCTGCCGGAGCTCCTGACCTCACCCAACTACCTGCCCTGCAGCCAGCTTCAACTTTTACGGACTGCCTCCATATTGCACCTTCGACCTCGGACTGGACTCGGACCTCGCCTCTCGGTTAGCCCACGGGACCAGCACAATCCCTCTAGATCTCAATGGAAACCACTGCTGGCACTGTTTCCCCACCTGCAGGGGCACCACCTCTTTGGCTTCCACCCCCCAGGGCAGCTGCCACAACCTGCCTCATGGGTAGGCTGGCCGTGGATACATTCCTCCCATTGTCAGGACTGCCTACATTTGCTTTCATCCGTTTTCAAATGGACACACTGCAGGGTAATCCAGAATGAATCTGCAATGAACTTTTCTTTTAGGAACAAAAGCAAGAAGCACTTTTCAGGGGCAAAAAAACATGAAATTGATCTTTCTCCCTCAATTCTGGAGGCGTATGCAGCTTTAGTCACAGGCTACCTGACCTTACCATTAGAAAAGTTACACCTTTTCAAGCCATGAGTCTTGTTTATAGAAGTTTGCACAGGTGGCATTTGCAGACCTGGCGCTGTGGGTTAAACCACAGAGCCTAGGACTTGCCGATCAGAAGGTTGGCGGTTCGAATCCCCGCAGCAGGGTGAGGTCCCGTTGCTCGGTCCCTGCTCCTGCCAACCTAGCAGTTCAAAAGCACGTCATAGTGCAAGTAGATAAATAGGTACCACTCTGGCGGGAAGGTAAACAGTGTTTCCGTGAGCTGCTCTGGTTCGCCAGAAGTGGCTTAGTCATGCTGGCCACATGACCCGGAAGCTGCACGCCAGCTCCCTCGGCCAGTAAAGCAAGATGAGCACCGCAACCCCAGAGTCGGCCACGACTGGACCTAATGGTCAGGGGCCCCTTCCCTTTACCTTTATATTAGGATTGGCAATAAGTCTTTGGTCTTGCCCCTTAGCCTCATCTTGTATTATAATGTTGGAATCAAGTCATGCCTGAAAATCCCAGGACGAACGACAGTCCCATATTCACAGTGATTGTCTGATCAGTTTCCCAGGGGGCATCATGCTTTTAAGGTAGCGTAGAACCCTTTCAAGCAGACTGTCTGAAACATTAGCATAATGTCTCAAATAGTTCAGGAAATGAGTACTTTACGAATGATAAGCTCCATGCAAGTTAGATATAATTGATTAAAAGCCCTTCACTAAAAGAGCTACCTACGAGCTGCACAGGTGAAGAGTGGTTCTTCCCTCATCCACTCGCTGTGTCATTTTCCTATTTCATTTTCTCCCCCTACAGCCACCCCAGACACCCACATTAATACTTCAAGTGCTATAGAGGCTGAGTGTGTCCCACACCATCCCCTCCTTTCATGTAAAAAACCAAAACCATTTCATCCTTTTCACTCATTTCATGGGAGCAGCAAATCATCCAAATGTGAAGGAAGTTTGTGTCACTGCTTTTTAATTTCCCAAATATGAACATGTCTTTGGAGGGTATTTCATCTTTCACAGCAGAGAGAAGGGATCTTCACCAACCGCCCTGAATTGTTCGCTACCTCAACACTACAAAATCTCAGGGCTTCAAAAGGAGTTGGATTATTGCTCTATCTCAGTGGTTCTCGAATGGTGTGGTATGGTGTGCCACACTGGTGTGACAGGAGAAAGATTCAAGGATAATCAATATTATATTTTGTTCTTATGATGTCTTATGATCATATCATAAAGTAGTTGTCTTCTGTGTTATAAATCAAGCGCTGCTGGGCGTTGTTTGCTTTTGTTTCCCATTGTATTTCTTTTCTTTTTTAAAATAAATTTTTATTAGTTTTACATAAAGTTGTATACAATAAACATAACCATTCCAAATAATAAAAAGAGGTTCTTTCGGACCTTCAGACCTCCTTCCCTCCCTTCCTGGGTTCCATTTCTTTTTTCTTTTTTTTCCTGCATCTTTTCCTGTAATCCATCTACTTTATGGTAACCAAAGTTCATGTCACGCTATTCCTGCCAATGATTCCAACTGTCTACAGTGGTCTTTCAGATATATTAAAGAGTTATTCCAGTCTTTAAAAAAATACTTGGTCTTCCTGGTTTCTGATCTTTCCCGTCCATCTTGCCATTTCTGCATATTCCATGAGCATGGTCTGCCCCTCTTCTCTGGTCGGTACTTCTTCTTCTTCCCCCAATGTATTTTTTATCCATAAACAATACTGTGTGGCACAAGCAAATTTTTATTCTGAAAGTGTGGCCCAGAAAAAAAAGAGAACCACTGCACAGTCTGTACTATGGCTGGTATGAATCCAATATCTACTAGTGCTTTTTCACGGGGAGTGAGCACATTTCAAATCATGTAAAAGTTGTCCATCATAGGACTTACTAGGTAAAGGTAAAGGGACCCCTGACCATTAGGTCCAGTCATGACCGACTCTGGGGTTGCGGCGCTCATCTCACTTTACTGGCCGAGAGAGCTGGCGTACAGCTTCCGGGTCATGTGGCCAGCATGACTAAGCCGCTTCTGGCAAACCAGAGCAGCGCACGGAAACACCATTTACCTTCCCGCCGGAGTGGTACCTATTTATCTACTTGCACTTTGACGTGCTTTCGAACTGCTAGGTTGGCAGGAGCTGGGACCGAGCAACGGGAGCTCACCCCGTCACGGGGATTCGAACTGCCGACCTTCTGATCGGCAAGTCCTAGGCTCTGTGGTTTAACCCACAGCGCCACCCGCGTCCCTCATAGGACTTACTACCCTCATTTAAATCAGGACGGGGGAACCTGCAGTCCTCCAGATGTTTTTGGACTTCACCTCCCATCAGCAATGCCACCTGGTTTTTGAGGAGTTGCACCAGTCCTATCATGTCTACCCGGACGTGAGTTCCAGTGCAACTTACTTTTAAGTAAATATACTAAGGGCAGTTTTGTCATTTGCAATTTTCGAACGAAACGGAGTTGGAAGACACAGGTGTGAAAGCACACTCTGACTGGCGAAATGTCTTCCTTAGGAAAGGTAACGGTGTTCCCGTCTTTAAAGGCAAAAGCAGGTACTGCAAAAGTAGTAGCGTCAGTTGTTTTGAGATGCAAAAGGAGAGGCTTTTTGTGGCAGTTTCATGTTGCTAATTAAATCAAGCAGAAGCCTAAATGGTAAATACATTGCACATCGTGCAGTATATAATCTTAATAATCAAATGACAGGCTTCATATCGGTTTGAATTTATTAAAGTGACATCAGACATTTACGGAAGGAGTAAACAGAACTGACATTAGGGGAGGCTGACAGGGCAAAGCTGGAGGCTGGTCAGAGGGACTGTGGAAGGAGGAGAAATCTGGGCACATTCTCTCCTACATGTCTTCACTGTATTCTTAATTCTT